TGACAGTGCCAAGACTGAGAAATCTGGAACCAGGCAAAGGGAAAAGCACAAGCAAAGACCACTAGTGGGAGGCTCAAGTACGGCTAAAGTGGTTTGAGCAGAGAAAACTAGAGAGGACAGACCATACAGGGCTTTATAAACCCTGTCAAGGAGTTTTTTTTGTTTGTTTGTTTTTCTAAAAGATGACCGGTAAGGGGATCTTAACCCTTGACTTGGTGTTGTCAGCACCACGCTCTCCCAAGTGAACTAACCGGCCATCCCTACATAGGGATCTGAACTCGTGGCTTTGGTGTTATCAGCACCACACTCTTCCAAGTGAGCCACGGGCCGGCCCTAGGAGTTTTGGCTTTATCTTAAGAATGAAGGGAAAAACAAGTGGAGGGTTTCAAGAACAGGAGGAGCTGGGGGATGAGGACCTGCCCAGATTAAAATTTCAAAAAGATACTGATTTCAGTATGGTAAACAGATTGGAAGGGAGTGAAAATGGATGTGGATAGATGACATAGGTAACTAAGTAATATAACTTCTTAAAAACTCCAGAGCCTGGGGAAACAGAAGGTAGTAGTGATGAGGATGTAGATATAGCCAAAAAATTTCCTTCTATAAATGTTCAATACGAGAAATGGAGAAACAAAGAATGTGGGTATTACATGCACTGTCACTTTACAGTGTGTGGGTAGTTGTGGTAGTTAGCTACATGTCCTTTTAGAATTCTCTTAAGGTGGAGCAGAAATTTCTAAGAATGGATAAAATCTTTTCCTTGTATTTAAAAAATAAGGGATAAGAATATTCCTTTTTTCTCTTTGAATGTGATATATGGTAATACATAAAGTGCTTTATTTGCAAAAATTCGGGCAGCAAAAAACTGGAGTAATTAAATTTTAATCTACAAGTTATAATCCACATTAATAATCAAAAGCTTAGGAATTAATAAAACCAATAACTGGCTCTTGGTTTTATATTCTCAAGAATATATTTTTTTCTTTTCTTTTTTTTTTTTTTTAATTTTTATTTTGTCAATATACAATGTATATGATTATTATATTTTTTTCTTTAATTATTACATTAAAGCTGAACTAGAAAATATTATTAAAAACTATTTTTTGTTTTGTTTTGTTTTGCTGGCCAGTACAGGGATTGACCCCAGACTTTCATGTTATCATGCTCTAATCAAATGAGCTAACCGGCCAGCCTCAAAACTATTTTATAACAAAACATACCATGTACAGAAAAGAATGAATATAATATATAATGTATGGTTTAAAGAATAACAACATCGATATTCACAAACTCACCACTAAGTGGCAATTTTTTTAAAATAGCAAAAATTTTTATATAGGNAACAGAAATGGTCTCTGCCATTAAGAAGCTTAAATGTTAAAATAATAAGAAAGAAAAAAAAGAAGCAGCAACTTACAGGTTAGTAGTAAAAAGACAATAATCATACACTCACAAACACAAACAAAAATACAACTAAAAGTGCATGTAGTTCATGCTTCTGTGAAGAGAGGTCCCTGGTAAAGCGGGTGTTTGATCTAGTCAGAAAAAGCTTTCTGAGACTGTAATAGCCAGTGATTCTCAATGGGGTGATGGGTTTGCTCCCCTGTGTGACATTTTTTTTTTTTGTCCTTTTTTTTTTTTGAGACTGGCCACACCGCGCTCAGCCAGTGAGCGCACCGGCCATCCCTATATAG